ATACTAAAAATTTTATAATACCAATAATATCTATTTAATATGAACTTATCATTATTTTAGTATTTGCATTTTGTTATCGTATCTCCCCCAGATTCGCATCAAAATGATGTTATCTTTAAAAATGTCCACGGCTTTCAAGTTTAGATTTTAAAGCTGTCTTTATAATTTTCTCTATAGTAAAATCACCTTATTCAAAGTAAGTCCAACTAAATTTCTTTAAGTAAAGAGTATAAAAAATGTATTTTTTTTTAAATATGACTATACCTAGATAACCAGTTTCAGTCTGCAGAAACGTAAATTGACACATGTGACCTTTCTTAGACCTCTGTCAGGATTTTACGCGAACCATTCTCTCTAAATGTGAATACATTAATTATATTTCTTTTATTTATGTAAATTTCATATCTTAGGTTTTATTAAAATACTAGCAATGCCCGCGGCTCCGCCCGCGTTCAAATGACCAAAAACCAAATTCTTAGGTTTTACATCCTATTAGTATACTCTTACATTGCAGATTTTTTTTCAGAAATGAGACATTTTGTCGCGGTAAAAACTATCCTATATGTTGACCCGGATAACCAGCTATCACCATACCGAATTTCATCAAAATCCCTCTAGTGGTTTTTCTGTGATGCGGTAACAGACAGACAGACACAAATTCTAAAAACTATAGATTCGGTCTCTGTATCGATAATAATGTTTATTTAAATAAGATTTTTCAAAAAATATTTAATGTACAGATTCGGCATAGTTACAATTTTATTATATTATGTATAGATGTGTCACATCAACGACGACAGTATTTTATAAAAAATATGCAATCTTAACCGTAATTACGTTTTAGATTATTTACTTAATCATCATTTTCATGTCAATGTTCACTGTCATGTTAATATCTTATAGAAACGGCCACTCTCTTTTTGTTTGACTTTCACCCTTTGGGATTTACATTCCTTTTACATCTAAATACGTATTATAGACACCCTGGGGAGTGAATAGAAAATGAAAATATGTTGCGTTAACTTTCATTAAATACTAAACTCTGGTTTGTGGTTTTTCTTGCTTACAAAATTCAAAAAATTCAATTCAAAATATTTTATCCAGCATTAAATTATTACAATTTTTTACTGAACGTCATGAGTCTACTACCAGTTCGGATTACAATTGATCGGATTCGGATTGAACCGGAGTACAATTAGAGGTAAACGTGAAATGCCTTAGAGACACTACACGATTACAAATGTTCTATGAAATGTTACTTCAGATTATTTTCTTATGAAACAATAAACATCCTAGTAATTTTAGCTGATCATCATACATATTATACAGACCAAATTCAACACATGGATGTTTCCATCGGTACTAGGCCCTTATCATTACTGTTAAATAAATTAATAAAATAGGATCTTATAATCCAATCTATATCATGTATAAAGAGTTGCCTCTAACGGACCTTTTGAGCTGAGAACTTGACAGGAAAATCTTTGAATGCCATAGCGCTAAGAAAAGTTTTTTTTTATTTTACTCCTACAATTGTTAAGAAAGGTGCCAAAGTTTATGTGGGAAATGATATGTTGTGATTTCAAATTACAAAAAAAAACCTTGAGAAGTCGGAGCGGGTAAAACAAAGAGAGTTAAAAAAACTGGCCTAATTATGATACTTTTACTAAGTCGCCAGCAATTTATTTTACATTAGCGTGCAACTTTTATGTTCATCATTTGCATATTATCACGTTACGCGTCATACTTGATTAAACAAACCTTAATCAGATGTTTCGTCATTATAGTTTTAATAAACATTATCATTTCTGTCACTAATCCAGTCACTTAAGATTGGATGTTGTTCAGGAATTTTCCTGTTTTTTTTTCTTTTTTTTTTAATTTTTAGACCACTGTTCAGATGCTAGTAGGATTCTCGTAATGTAAAGTTGAATAGGATTTTTGACATTTAAAAAAAGGTAAGGTATAAGTTAAGTAATATTCGATTATTTATAATATACATACTTCAATTTTGCCTAAAAATAACTTAAAGCCTTTAATAATCTGATAGGTATATGTAAATCTCCTTAAATTAGAATCTAGGTTAAAATATATTCAGATTAACGCATTGGACATATTGCCTAACTTTGTTTACATTTTCATCTCGCATTTCTCAGAAGTAAAGAAATCTAACGGAAGCAGGAACGTGACCAAATTATAGGGATACTTATCGTTACGATTTCTGGTGGTATGTCGGTGTGGTATTTCCTGAGAGGATACTAATGTGACATCAAAAATAAAACGCGCAACGGAAACACATAAGTAATTAACGAAAGATACACAAAAAGAACCCATTTCATTCCAAAGAAATGCTTTCAATTCCGTTAACAGTTTACAAAATTGGTATATTTTAGAATCACGATTTTCTGCGCCTATTACGGATTTTACGATACGCACTGCGTCCACTGCACAGTTCGATAACCTGTATACGAAATTGATCGATATAAAAGTATAAGCGAGTAGATAATCCAATTTATCCACGGCTTTAATACAGGATATCGATAAGCTGGCTCAAATCGATTGTAAAAACTTCTATGATTACATTGTTTTTGTTTTATCTCTGTCGTTTAAGAGTCTGTGCAATTTAATATTAATGCTTCTAAGGAAACTCTGTGAAACGCTACTCATTACTGCCTGTCTTGCTTATAATTATGATTGATTTATGTATGTCAATTCAATTATTTCTCGCACTTATCCCACGCAGATATTCTTGTTTAAAGTAATAAAATACCTTGTTTATACTTATGCGTAAAAGACAACTTGCCTCGACATATGAAATTACTTATAAAGTATGCTGTTTTATCGGAACTTCCATCCGGGAATCGCAGTGATTATGTTTGCTTTCATATCAATGAAACGCTGTTTTTATTGAATCGATAAAATAATTTATTAGTTAGGTAAGTACCTAAATGTTGTCTAAATTATTTTTGACTAGCGACTCACTATCGCTCCGCTCGGGTTCGTCCCTACTTACGGTTTAACGTTTAGTATGATATCTCGGAGATGAGATATTTTCCCTCAGTAAAAATATCTTATATGTTGACCCGGAGAACTAGCTATCATCATACATATATACTACATCAAAATGCCTTTAGTGGTTTTTCCGTGATGTCACAGATAGACAGACAAAAATTCTAAAAACTATAGATTCGGTCTCTTTATCAATAATAATGTCTATTTCAATAAGATTTTCGAAAAAAAAAAATTAATGTACAGATTCGGCTTAGTTATAATTTTATTATATGTAGAGATATTTGAAAGATAAAGGGGGTGGCACAGATAGGCTTTGAGTCAGAGTTTAGGTCACCTAGTCTAATTCGGTGCCTGGATTGTCGCCAAGCATTTGTTCTATTGTGGCGTCTGTTCGTCATGGACAGCTGTATGGATGTACGTAGTCACGCATGTTGATAGCATTCGGCTGTCCGTCTGCACTGGAGGTCGTTGAACCTGTGTAATTTATGTCGTCCGCGTATCGTTTAGGGTGTATCTGATATCTCATGCATTGAATAATTATATGCACTGTACAATTCTATAGTGCAATACACAATCTAATATTTGAGGTACGAAACCCTAAAAATTAAATAATTAAACTAAATAATATTATTGTAAATTTTTAACAAAAGATCTTGATAATCTAGTATAAATATAGGGTTAATTATTATTTTATTATTATTATGGTGCTCCATTATTCTTAAGAATCCAACTCAATTTTACCATAATGCGTGCCGTGTTCGTAATTGCGGCGGGTTCGACGGAACATTGTTCCAGTTTGGTGCCGGCCTTTAGTTAGAGTCAAACGCTCAAGCGTACCTACAGCTATGTGGGTAGTTTAAATAGCAGCATATTAAACAGTAAACACCCTCCTAGCTTATTACACAAACTCGGTCAAGGTGCCACAAATCGAAATATTATAATGTCCCTTGCGTAGTGAATTGAATATATCGCGTGGGAAGTGTTTTTATTGTTCGCGTGTAAGTCTTGTGAGATGAAATTTCGCTTTTGTCTAAAGAAATTTAATGGTCTCGCCGTTATCGTCCTCCATTGTTACTATTTGATGCATTTTCTGTGAAATGTGTTGGAAATTCGCAAAACAATTACCAGAAGTGAGGTTTTGGGACTAATTGCACTTTCGTATGAATGGATCGGGTCATATTTCGCTTTTGTTGTAGCGTTTTATACAAGCTTAATTACCATAATCTCGAGGAAATTAAGAGGTAATGATTTTGTTCGTGGTAACATTTCGTGTATATTTTTTTTTAAAACAACAGTTTTTTCAATACTATAATATGTACTATAATACGAGTAATATTATAAATAGGTAAAGTTAGTGAGTTTCTGAGATTACGAGTTTGTGACGTAGGGGGTAACCTCTGGATCTACTGAACCGATTTAGATGAGATTTAGTAGGAAGATGGTTTGAGACCCTGGGAAGGACATAGGATTTTTTTATCCTGAAAATCATGCCTTAAGGGGGTGAAAATGGGGATGAAAGTTTGTATGGGGAGTCGCTATTATTTAATAAGGTTCGTAATGTAGTACCTAATTTTGAAAAGAAATGATCTAAGTACCTTTTATAATAAACCTCTTTTCAGTTTTTCGTATGATTGAATGTATGAAACCTTGACATACTTTGATACCATATTTCTTTATACAATTAACATATTATTCAAATAATTAAGTGGTGTGAGTTATGTAATTTCACTTGTAGTATACTAAATTAACTGTTTCTAAGAAAGCAAGATTTATATGACCAAATGAATAAATTTAATATTTTATTTCATATAGAAAGATTAAGTGCAATTAAATTTTATTTATTTTTATTTTTAATTATTTTTATATTAAATAAAATTTATTTCAGGCAATGTTTACAAAAAGATCTTAAATATGTAAACAGAGGCCCATAGCATAATATATACCTTAAACTAAAACTAAACTATTTATGTATCATTCATTGCCCACAGGTGCAGAAGCAAATGGCAAGGGAATATGAGCAACTTAAAGCAACAGTAGCCACCCTACAAATGTTTCAGCATGATGGAGAAAAAGCAATCACTCCATTAACTAGTGGTAAATATACATATTATTTGCATTTTGTATAATGAATAAGAAATGTAGGTATGTGTTTATTTTAATCCACATCTAAAGAACTCGTAGGAATGATCGTTCAATCAATTAAACTCTTATCGTTAATTATTGAAAAAGTTATATCTATACTAATATTATCAAGAGGCAGAGTTTATTTGTTTGTTTGCTTGAACGCCCTAATCTCAGGAACTACTAATACGATTAGAAAAATTCTTTTTGCATTAGATAGCCCGTTTATTGAGGAAGGCTATAGGCTATATATCATCATGCTATATAGGCTATATACCCAAGGGAGTGGAGCGGTAACCATAAATGTCAACAAATCTAGCAGACTTCCATACATTATTGTAAAACTATATATTATATACATTTCAAAGAGTTTTTTTGTAGATTGAACGCGGGCGAAGCCGCGGCTTTTGCTAATATAATATAAAGGTTGAAATTTTGTAGCTTGAAGTGTCTTTGTGCATTTAGAATGTACATTTGAAAATGTAGTCAAACCCCGGCGAATGCCAGAAAAATGACATCAAAATTATATTTTCAATTAGGTTATTCAACTGGTGAGAGTTAGAGAAAAATATCTTATCAGAAAGAATATATGGTATACGTAAAATGACCCATTGACTTTTTCTGATCGACTTAATTAAGAAATAATAGAATTAATAGATTTATTTTAATTTTATTCATAAGCTACTACTGTTCCCGATTTTGTTTGCGTGACGATTTTTACCATTGTTTATCTGCTGCAAATGCATTATATACAAATCATAAGTTTTTTAAACCTAATTATAATATTAAAAAATTAAATGAAAATAACATAATGATTTTATAATATACGTACTAAATTTTAACTAAATTTTTAAGTTAATTCTTTTCAAATACTCTATCATAGATATCACTTATTGAAACAGTGATTATTTTATTTGGGTTATTTCAAAATGTGTTTGTTAAGCCAAAATATTTATTACAACGACAACGATATGACCGCATTCGTTTTCATAATACATAGTAGAAAATAAGGACATAGGGTTCGTAAAACGACTTTTAATTATGTAGAGCCGTATAAAGATTTTCGTTTCCTGTTTGTTTGTCACAACTGCATATTATAATGTATTCCCAGTAGGTAATAATTAATGCGAAGAATACTGCCATGACCTCGGAATAAAAAGTGTACCAGAAGGGGCATGTGCTTTGTATTGTAGCTCGAGTAGTTTATTGAAAATTATAATCATAATAAACGAATAGTATTATTTTATTAAGTTACAAGATTTATATTATTATAACTAAATTATATGTATTATTCAAATTTTAAGTCAGTGGTAGACCAGTGGTAACGCGCTCGCTTGTGGAAACCGGGTGAAGCGGGTTCAAATTTCGGGTCTTACACCTCTGATATTTTCATGTGCTTGTCTTGCACTTGTCTTACGCTGAAGGAAACATCGCGAGGAAACCAGTATATCTGAACCTTACGAGTTTTCAAAAGTCATGTGTAGTCCGTCAAACCGCACTTGGCCAGCGTGGTGGACTATGACCCTTCGTATTAAAAGGAGGCCCGTGCCCAGCAGTGGGACGTTAAAAAGGACGGAATACAAACAAATTTTATTGAATAAATATAGTGTATAACGCTATAATTACCTATAGCTATTATTCATTTACAGAGACTTGGTATAGTAAATAGTTTTTTTCATTTAACAATTATTTGTATATATTGTTAATGTACAAATATTGGTAATATTTTGATGCCATTTTTTACATAATCTGTGACCTCGATAGTAAACAATCACACTATAGAACACATTCACCTACAGTGTAGAACAATTGTTTCAAGCTGTGACGGTAGAAGCCTTTCTAGGGACGACTGTGATTGTAGTTCTTTAATTGCATGCTGACGTATGCATAATTAGCACCAACACAAAAATGGTGAAATAATTGAATACGTAATTAATGAAGTGGTCTAATTTCGTGTATTGATAGCAGTTAAATACAAATCGTTAAGCGTGAATGAGACAAAATTCCCACATGACAGTTATACAGTGCTTATAAATTATTATTATTTAAATTTTTCAAGAAAAAAAAGACTTAAATATAGTATACTTTTATAATGTAATCGTGATATGAAATATGCATGAATACATGAATCTGCAACAAAATAAAATTAATAAATATCGCGGATCGTTGCCACTTTTAAAGCTAGTCGAGTGGAAGACAAGTCTCCACTATAAAACAACGAGCTGCTAGTAATATAATTTATGCACTAAATATGGAAATTTATGCAAACCAATCTAAAATAGCCATTTATTATAAAAAAAATCCACCTGTCTAACTTATTTTAGTATCTGTCGACATGGAGACAGCTTAAATCTATACATATAATAAAATTGTAACTAAGTCGAATCTGTACATTAAATATTTTTTGGAAAATCTAATTGAAATAAACATTCTTATCGATACAGAGGCCGAATCTATAGTTTTTAGAATTTTTGTCTGTCTGTCTGTCTGTCTGTCTGTCTGTCTGTCTGTGTGTCTCTTACCGCATCACGAGAAAACCACTGGACAGATTTTGATGAAATTTGGTATGGTGATAGCTAGTTATCCGGGTTAACATATAGGATACTTTTTACCGCGGGAAAATATCTCATTTCTGAGAAAAAAGACAAAAACTGCATTGTAAGAGTATACTAATATGTAAAACCTAAGAATTTGGCTTTTGGTTATCTGAACGCGGGCGAAGCCGCGGGCAATGCTAGTATGAATATAAATACTAAATGCATAGTACAAACTGTTAAATGAGATTAAAATGGTTTGTCATGTAATTTAAAAAAAATACAGTAGCAAGTTTTTGTTTGAGAATAAAAAACGCAGTGCAGAGAGCACTTCAACTTATCAATCCATATTCTTCATACAAGCTTTTCAACTTCCCTTATGAATAATTTAATAAATGTAGAGCTATTATAAATACTGCGGCAACTATGCAGAGGACTTAGAAATAGAATAAAGTGAAATGAGAAAATATTTTTATCTTAAACGTGAAAGTAATGACATTTTTGTTATTACTTTTCTATACATATAATAAAATTGTAACTAAGCCGAATCTGTACATTAAATATTTTTTGGGAAATCTTATTGTAATAGACATTATTATCGACACAGAGGCCGAATCTATAGTTTTTAGATTTTTTTCTGTCTATCTGTTACCGCATCACGGAAAAACCACTCGAGGGATTTTGGTGAAATTTGGTATGATGGTAGCTGGTTATCCAGGTCAACATATAGGATACTTTTTACCGCGGGAAAATATCTCATTTAAGAGAAAAAATACAAAAACTGCAATGTAAGAGTATACTAATATGTAAAACCTAAGAATTTGGTTTTAGGTTATTTAAACGCGGGCAGAGCCGCGGGCAGTGCTAGTAACATATAAAACACTATAGGAAAATATCTCATTTAAGAGAAAAAATACAAAAACTGCAATGTAAGAGTATACTAATATGTAAAACCTAAGAATTTGGTTTTAGGTCATTTAAACGCGGGCAGAGCCGCGGGCAGTGCTAGTAACATATAAAACACTATAGAATAACCAAAAAGGATACCAATTAACCATAAAAGTACTTATACATAGATAATAAATTTCGTGTACTATATTATTTTCAAAAACGTAAGTTTTTTAATAAAATAAGTTTCATTATTAACATAATCCACGCTACTGTTGTCATAAATTATTCAACGTTCATTTAAACAATTTTTCACAGCACTTAACATTGAGAAACTAAAACTTTTGAATGTTGATTTTAGTCTGTGGTTCGTTTAAACAACTTTGAACTACTTTTTCTCAGAATACCTTCATTCATCCAGATGACCCTTTAGTTCGACGTTGTGTTAATACTAAAGACACCTTTCAATAAAAATAATGAACGCCAAGTAATTTCAGTTGCGGCTGTACGGTTTCAATGCATTCTCTATACTAAAAATAACGAAAATCACTGCCTTAGAGCCCATGTACGCAGTAAGGCCTCGATGCTCGTAATCGAGCGTGTCGATCTGATAAAACTACTTTCCAATCTGCATGTTCTACGGAGCAGACTTTTTTTTACTTCTTTTATACGCAATAACCCTTATTTTAACGTAATAAAGGCGGTTTTTCTTTACATAGAGTAAATAAGCTTGATCGTAACGAATCTAGGATGCTGTGTATTCATCTTGCATTACGTTCAAGGATAACCTTCCGCCGTCTTCAATATACTAAGGAAAATAACTTTGTAAACTACTTGTTGCCTATTCTGTCCTGTTTTACTTAGAATAAGTAAATTTTAGCTGTTTTTGTATTGATTTTAATGAATCTGTTACTATTTAATAAATAATATTCAGATATGAAAAATTATATGTTTCTATATGTATTATTAAGTATGTAAATAAATATATATAAGTATGTAAGTAAATAGTATTTAACCTTACAAATTTATACCTACAAGTACATAAAACTTGTAAAAGTATTTATCACGCGATTTCGTGTTTTGTCGGATATTGAAGCTTCATAAGAATGACTTTCCAATCTTACGGTAGAAGGTATACTTATCAAGATTGCCTCAAGATGCTGCGGCTACACTATTGCGGACATTCGATGCGGTTGTTTTCTCACAGGCATTTTTCAACGGTGACAATTTATAGGGAAGGAAGACGATGTTTTCAAAACGTTGTATAGTAAGTTTTACTATACAATAGTTCAATAATAATGCAATAAAGGCAAATGGCAGAAATAATAATTTAATCTTCCCACATAACCAGCTTACTCAGGTTTCTTATATTCTAGAAAATAAAAACGTTTTCTATTAATGATGTTATAAATCAACACATACGCCCCATTAACGCTACTTTAAGGACGTTAAGAGGAATGCTAAGAAAACATATTTAAAGCCTTTTAAGACACATTCGTCCCGTGCACGGTATTTACACGTATTTTTTAAGTAGCCATTCGGATAATATTTCGAACAGTCTACCTCTGACTCACAGGTGTGTAGACACGTTATATACTTGGAAAGAAGCTTAACTTCATTTCTGAGAAAATTGTTCATATATGGATACTAACGATGAGTGAAACTTGAATTTATTATATGTACACCTACACTGTACATATATTTATTTATAAGGTTAATAATGTTGGTTTACATAATCTTACTGATTTGACTTTTTCTTTCTAAACCTAAGATTGGATAGGTATCCATGTGTGGTAGTTTTAATTATATTATAAAACTAGCATTGCCCGCGGCTCCGTCCGCGTTCAGATGACCAAAAACCAAATTCTTAGGTTTTACATATACTCTTACATTGCAGTTTTTGTATTTTTACTTAGAAATGAGATATTTTCCCGCGGTAAAAAGTCCTATATGTTGACCCGGATAACCAGCTATTACCATGCCAAATTTCATCAAAATCCCTCCAGTGGTTTTTCTGTGATGCGGTAACAGACAGACAGACAGACAAAAATTCTAAAAACTATAGATTCAGCCTCTGTATCGATAATAATGTTTATTTTAATAAGATTTTCCATAAAATATTTAATGTACAGATTCTTCTTGGTTTCAATTTTACTATATGTATAGATTAATCATCTTCATAAAAGTGACCGTTTATATACGTCTCACTTTATAACTAGAGCTTCAATAAAACAATTATTGTCGCCTTAATAACTCGCTGATTAAAGAATGTTGGTATGTAATCCAACCGTTAATTGTACAATGTTTTGCATAAGGGCGCTGTGTAATATAATAAACCTGTATAGGTTAGATGAGATTTTTCTTATATAAGAAAAATCTCGTCTGATGCAGCTGCGTGGACTTAAAAAAATAAACTGGTTTTCTTGAGAACTGCTTGCTCATTAGCTGGCACAAATGAAGGGTAAATTAATTATTATTTTACTTTATACTAGCTTTCGCCCTCGACTTTGCATGTATCGACATCGACAAAAATTGCCAATATCTCTCTCGATTCGTATAGAGTACCCGCCAGTGAAACCGTTAAAGCCTTTTATCATGCGTCAACCTCAAATCGCAGAGATATTTTATTTATAAGTTCAAATTACGTTCATAAATTATATATTGCTATATTTCTATAATGATCGACCATTATATATATAACATATATACTATAAGTTGAAAAAACTTACTAAGAAAACATACTTATTCTTGACTTTACTGAATAACTTGAATATAAAAATATATTTACTGACTTGTTACACCTACTCATTTTTTGTTTAAACAACTTACCTAGTCTACTACTTTCTAAGCAATTAGAAAGTGTTATTGTCGATCCCATATTCACCACTTATACCAGTTTACTGTGCTTCTCCTAGCGTTAGAAGACCTGCCAACTCGAGACCAAATGTGGGCGCCGGCGCCCCACGAGATAGATCCAGACATCTGGCCGCCGCCTCCCGACCGAGATCCCACCGCCTGGCCTTCGCCAACTAGTGTAGAACATAAGTAAGTAACGGACAGTGACATTTTTAATTTAAGGTTTATTAGTTGTATGTTCGTGAAGATCATCGTGACATTTTTGTGTAAACATCTCTATATACTGCGATGAACATAGCGGGATCATTTCCCGCACCCGATTAACCTCTGGAGATGGAGTAAAAGTTTTACATTCTATCAATGAAAGCAGAATGATAAGAAAATAGAGGTATTTCAGTCTGGCAACCGCCTGAACGATTTTGTATGCAAGATATTTCAGGATAAAGATCCATACTTTTTTAATATTATAAATGTGAAAGTGTGTTTGTTTGTCCTTCTTTCACGTCGAAACAGAGTTACTGACGGATTGGCGTGATTTTTTGTGTGGACATAGTTGGAGTGTTGGAGGGTGACATAGGCTAATATTTACGGTAGGAGATTATCTCATTCCCACACTTCGAAAACACTTTATAATACAACGATAACTTATCATGCTTATGTGTATATGTATATAATATTATGTTTTTGTTTGAGTTGTTTTTGACAAAAATTAAGGAAAACAAGCAACACTTTTAGCGATAAATATTTAAATTTTCAGTAGGTAAGTCATATTAAGTTGAAGATATTTACGAGTACTATCTTATCATGTTCAAACTTAAATCTTCAACAAAAAATCTTATCTTATTCACTCGCTAAATAGGGAGTGCTGAACTTGCTAACTTGGTTAGAAAACAACTCGACTAGTTCCTAGGTGTGATGTTTACACTGCCACACGTATATGGATAAAATAACTGCACAGTTAGCCCTTTTTATCAAGTTCTCCTAAACAGAATTTAAAACCTTTATATAAATGGACATACAGCGTCATAATCATAACGAGTTCCACGTCATAAATAAATTATTTTTATTTTCCATCGTATAGATCATTGAATGAATGTTCTCGCTAATATTTTTATTGATTTATAATTCAATACTAAGTTAGTCTGGAAAACGTTTCATATAATAGACTATACATCATACACTTTCATGTTACGTAGCGATAACAATCTTATTGATATAAAACTTTCACCATTAGCCCACCACAAAAGCTCTACGCAGGAAAGTCTCGTACATCAATCTTGCATAGCTTACAGTCATAAACCTTAGGCTCATAATCATATTTTAATTGACGTAGTAATTTTAATAAAATTTTCGCTATTTTAAATGTTGATGCAACTAATACATTTTTTTAATATATAAATAAAAATACGTGTATAAATTTCCTAGATAGGTCACTCTGTATGCCTCTAAATCGTAACAATCAAATATTCCCATAACGGTCCTTAGCTCTTTATTCCTGAACTTTATATACACACGCATATCTGTAAAACCTTGATCCTTTGACCTAACACTTAATGAGTTTGATCCATTTCTTTTACCAGAGGACCTCCGACAATGAAATCGGCAAGAAACAATCCACGAAACAACAGAACGGCAGATAACAAGAAGACATCAGCGCGGAACGCGACCACATCACAACGGAAGACGTCAGATGTACGGAACCCTAAGATTAACACGAATAAAGGACATAGCGGTTGGTCACGATACTGTTATATTTTGTTGTTTGTACCCGATTGCCCCCCGAGGTCGGGTTCAAGTGTTATACTACAGTATTATAGGTCTATATTCTTTGTCACGATTTGTAGCTTATATGGCTTTACAGTATATAATCTAATATATGTATGAGGTGTACTTTAGATTCGTGATTTGTCGATCGAATCGATTCGTAATCGATTTTTAATATATCTGTATACATTTTTTAATAGTGTTGGCATCCGAGTTTTGTTATTAGTATGTTCTACATTATTCCAGTTTAAATAGTTCCTATAAAATCCAAAGTACTAAAATTACTTATTTGGTTCTTGGATTAGATACTGAAGCCATCTAAATGCTTAGTAAGCACACGTCGAATATTCCACAGCGATTAGTATAGGATTTGTTTGCGTTTTTTTTTAAATTTAATATGGAGTTACCATTTTATTTATATTTTATATCTAGATAAATTAATTCTTAAAAGGGAACCCTAAAAGCTAGTAACAATTTAATTGATACTACACTGTCCTGACGTAATATTGGTGATGTAACGTGAGAAGGAGGTGAACTATAGTTGTTATGGCAAGAACATCCATAAAACACTTAGCCTATAAAGGTATGCATGGAAATTCAAACATTCACCGTTACTGACATTTAAATTAATAAATAAAATGTGCGAGTGTCTTTAAGAATTACTATGAAATACAAACTTATTTTTGCTACTGATAAAATGACTGAATATTTAATTTTACTTCTGACCAAATAAATAATGTAAATAAACCTTTTGACGGTTCAAAGACAAAAACCTTAGGTCCACGAGTCAGTCTCGCGCTTGTCCAAAATTTTTATAACACGGCCGTATGTTTCACAGCTTTAAATAATAAATATCGTCATACATCAATAATTTTTTAGATAGTACGATAGGAAGTCATTATAAGATAGTAATTTGGCTGGGCGAGGCGTATGAATGACATTTACAATGGAAATGTAGGTCTAGGTGTAACGTCTCGTGCATAAATGACGCATTTATGTACTGGACTAGGCAATGAGGGCAGAAAAACGTCGCCTTCACTTCGTTATGTTGGTAATTGGAGTAGTATGCTAATTTCTGAGAGGCTATGTGCAATTTGATTTTGTGTTTTATTTCGTTTTTAGATTCCGAAAGTTAGTTGTCTAATCTAGACTTCGCTAAGGTGTAACTTTATATAAGTAATCTGCATTTTGTAAACGCAGTATTTAATTTTATAAAAAAAAAAACTTAAAAAATATAGTAAAAAAATAACTGATTGGTAGTTTTCATTCACTATATATACCTAATCAGATATTTGAGAATATGTAGTTATTTTTTACTTTCTAGTGGGTTTTTTTTGGAATCGGTTTTTTTTTAAGTTTTTATTTTGCCACTTTTAGTGCAGACATAGTAGTAGCAAAGTAAGAAGAAAGTATTTTTTTAAATTCAGTAAGTGAAAAATCAATTATGACTTATTTTCTATATTTAGGAGTGTTTTTTTTTCAAATTTAAATGGGATCAACTTACAATCACTGTAGAAAGTTAAGCGTGTTCAAATATTTTTTCGTCGATTTAAAAGGGTCACAGAGGATGTGAGCGTAATAAAGATTAATATCTTGTTATGTGCTTCATATGATATAACGGATATGTATAAATTTTATTATATAATATAGTGGTATTAAATGATATACTAGTATGTAGATTCAAAACAGTGAATTCAATTTCCGGTTAAGAAATACGGAGTATTAGAAATGCAATAATACAGGTTTAGTTTTTATCAAAATTCTCGTAACTCTTTTTTGGTATTATGTATGTATAGTTTTGGAATGCGCTATCTACATAATACTTTCTTAAAACGCGAGTATTTCAAATGTTAAATAAAACGATCTTTTCGAATTTTTTCGCGGATTTATTTTGTTTTTAGTTCGTGATATTTCGAATGATTTACAGTAATCGTGGTCACGGGAGAGAGGTCCCGTCCGAAAATCCGTAAAGATGGATTTATTTAAAATTCTTCATCTTCGTATATTCGTTCACTTAGTACATATAATTCAATTGATAATATGATTTGCAAGAAAGTTTTATTATATGTAAAACAATAATTATTTTTCCTTTAGCTAAAACTAAAGAAACCAGTAACAAAGAGCACAACAATACAAAAGACAAGCAGGACAGAGACAACAACAATGGGGACACAGACGACGAGAAACATAAAGAGGAGGAAAGACGGTTCGAGCCACCTTCTGCGGCTGATGGTGACCTGGTAGATATGTTGGGTGAGTGTCGACTAACAATATCTTATAAGTTATTTTAGCTGTTATTATTATAATATTATTACAATTTTTTAGAAAAATATTAATTAGTAATCTATATATATTTAGTGTTGCCATTATTACATTTATAACCATAAAGAAAAATAAACTATTAATTAGATATTTATATTTTTTTATGGTTATAAATATAATAATGGCAATACTAAATATAGATTACTAATTAATATTCGTCTTATAAGTCTTATAGAAATAAAGGTTGTATGGCTATTGGTTAATAGAAATCCATAATCTATCTTTATATATATAATTCTTCTGTGAGTGTGTATGTCACTGAACTTCTCTCAAACGACTGGACCGATTTTGATTAAATTTTTTGTGTGTGTTCAAGGGGATCTGGAAATGGTTTAGATTCACAATTTGAATAATAATTTTCATCAAAAAAATTGTTAAAAAAAGTTTGAAATTTTCAAATTAAAGACGTGTAGACAGGACAACGTCTGTCGGGTCCGCTAGTTATTTATATAAAGTAAGAAACTGATTGGCTGACTGATCAATCAACGCACAGCTAAAACCGCATGCTCTAGAAGCATGAAATTTTGCACAAATGTTCCTTAAATGATTTAAGTGCGAAGGGATTTTTGGAAATTTATCCCCTAAGGGGTTAAAATGGAAAATGATACTTTATATAAAACTTAAAAATCAGCATTGATGATATTGACGCTTAATAAACGAAACATTTAAATACTTAAAAAAGGTTTTTTTTTTAAATAGATCAATATATTTATCGACCGATTGATCCACCGATAGATCGACCGACTGGTTGACCGACTGATCAACCGATTTATCGACCGATTAAACCTATTATTATTTATCTTTCAGAACGAGATATAGTGCAAAAGAATCCCAACATCCGATGGGACGACATCGCGGATTTAAGTGAGGCCAAGAGATTGTTGGAGGAAGCTGTAGTCTTGCCCATGTGGATGCCTGATTTCTTTAAAGTAAATATAAACTGTTATGAAAAATTAAATTTAAACACAAAAATATATTAAGTTTAATTTTACAAAAAAAATATATTTAAAAAGACAGTTTTACAAAATATTTGAAGGTGACTAAAAATAAAAGCCTATTCGTTACAGTGTGAAGTAACAAACATACACACATACAAACTTTCGCCTATATAATAGAGATTCAATAAAAATGTATGCAGTAACCTATCACTTGCGGGGCAGTGGTAATGCAGTGGTAGCGCGCTCGTTTTTGAAGCCAAGTAAAGCGAGTTCAAATTCCGGGTCTCACACCTCCAACTTATTATGATATAACTAAAACATGTCGAGGAAATCGGATATCCGAGAGAACTTAGTGAGCTTTCAAAAGACATGTCAAATCCGCTCGCACTAGGCCAGCGTGTTGGACTATGACCTGATCCCTCTCGTAGTGAAGGCCCGTGACCAGCAGTTGGACATTAAAAGGGGCTGAATACAACCCATGACTTATCCATGGTACCATACTTCCAGGGTATCCGCAGACCATGGAAGGGAGTGCTGATGGTGGGCCCGCCCGGCACCGGCAAGACGATGCTGGCGAAGGCCGTGGCCACCGAGTGCGGGACCACCTTCTTCAACGTATCCTCTTCCACCCTCACATCGAAGTACCGCGGGGAGAGTGAGAAACTAGTCAGATTGCTGTTTGAAATGGTTAGTTATCTATACTAATATCATAAAGAGGTAAAATTTGTGAGTATAGGAATTGTGACCTTGTGACGTTGTAGGGGGTAATCTCTGGATCTACTGAACCGATTTAGATGAAATTTGGTTAGAAGATAGTTTATGACCCTGGGAAGAACATAGGGTGAGGGTCTTAATTTGAGCCGCCCATCTATAAAAGAGACACTTATGAAATGTCAAATAAAGACATTATGAAAAAAGATGGGGTCTCTCTGCTATTTAAAATTGCAAGGAATTATGAAAAAACCAATAGTCTCGCTAAATTCCATGTAATATTATTATCTCTTGAATCTGACAGATTCTCATTGCGAGTTGGTGGTAAAATTTTTGATAGATTAGAAAAAAAAGTCAAAAAGTCTGTCAAATTTTCAAACTTTTTTGTTTAATATTCTACCGGTTTTTTTCAGTGGGTCGACATAAATTGTGAACCGATTATTTCATTCTTTTTTGTTAATCAATCATATTTTAAGTGTGGTTATAATTTAGAATTAAGACAAAAACCCTCTTTCGGGATAGAATAATTATTTTAAAATATATATATATATATAAAATAGCAATAATAATAACAAAGAACAAATTTTTTACAATAAAGTTGCATTTTTTAGCCGTAGCCCTCAACCTTATCGCGAAAATCCCAATGTTTTCAATCATCCTTGAGCTGTAGGAAACAGACTTATAGGAAAGACGCGTAAAGGAAATGTAAATGAATGAAAATTAATTTTATTCAATTAAATTTTACAAGCACTTTTGAAATGCCCGGTAGTAATGTTAATTAAAATGAAATATTAAGTGACATTTTTCTAATACATATAATATTAGTACAAAAACCTAAAATGACACTTTGGTCATAATAGGTCTAACAATATAACCACTCATCAAGGAATGAGAGAATGAGTATGGTTTCTATATCATCTGATCAGATGATACTTAATTGAATTGTTGTGCATAAGCGTTTAAAGGCATTTAACATGCCCTTAGGTTATTTGTATTAGTATAGTATTATCACAGTATAAAAATCTATAGGATGGATGATTGCCCATTGAGGGACTACATGGATTTATTATTACGAATATACGGTTGTCAAATAATACCAAATTTTATGGCGAACAGTTGCCAAGTTAAATCGTTGTAGTGATATTATGTAGTTATACACTTTGTCAATCATAAAGCCGTTTCCCAAATATTCTATATAAATAAAAATGTTCGTGTGTTTGTCCTCTATGCATTTCTAAACCACTTACTCAAGTGTGATGAAACTCTGGCGGGTTAAACTGTAGCCTGCGAAGGCTCCTGACACAAAAAACAACATATCTTGGGACGTTTGTCTTATATGTGTATAATGAAAACCACCAGAATATACTTCAAACGTATAATAATTATAGATTCACATATAAGAATTACACCACACTTAACACTACATATATCACTGCTTTTACTAAAATTACACAACACAGTTTCAGCATAACTTCACCGTAACTCTTACTAAATTAGAATGAATCCTAATCATACAAAGCAATCCTTTTATAATAATTTTAATTTTAATCAACCCACCTTTTTAATAATTTTAATGTCATTTTAACTACTTCCGTCGCAATCACAATAATCCATTTATGTATCTAATTTAGAAAATAAAGACTGTAAAAATAAATATAAATTATTTCTAGTACATTTCATAATTTTTAAATCACAACAATAATTTAAGTTTAACTTTGACTATTCCTAAATCATTGCAACATTTGATTTAAAATAAATTTAGTTTCTTTTTTAAATAATACATTTGCATACTTAATATAAAATAATAATATCATTGAAACTCCAATTAATGACAATAAATATAGGTTACTTTGAATATATCTGACAATATTAGTATTAAAATTAAGAAATCACAACATGTGATCCTAAACCATTCAAGGCTAAGGATGCACCTGAGTGAAGCGTGGGTAAATCCGCCAATCCGCAATAGGCCAGCGTGGCGGACTATGGCCTGATCCCCCTCGTGCCCAGCAGTGGGATATTGAAAAGGGCTAATTACATGTACAGTATATAAATACATTACAGTCTGTCACTCATGGTTGCCCGGTCTAAACGCCTTCGTTAAACGGTCATATAGATCAGTAGAATGTGGTATTATGTATGGGACATATTGTACAAGTTAGTTTACCCGTACCCAGCAGTGGGACGATAGAAAGGGCTGAATACAAGTATATTTGCAGGCGCGGTTCTACGCACCCAGCACGATATTCATAGACGAGATAGACTCGCTGTGCTCGCGCCGCGGCTCCGACAGCGAGCACGAGGCCTCGCGCCGCGTCAAGAGCGAGCTGCTCGTGCAGATGGACGGCCTCGGCTCGGCCACCGATGAGCCTGCCAAGGTAAATCTATACATTCTATACAGATAAATAAAATTTAAGTGTTCGTTTGTAATGTCAAAATAACAGCTTTTTACTAAATGCATATGAAATACACGGTATTTATAAGAAAATAATATAATATACGATATTTATAAGAAAAACACCATTTTTTAAATTTTGTCTGTCTGTTTATTCTGGCTAATCTCCGAAACGGCTGGGTCGATTTTGACGGGGCTTTCACTGACAGGTAGTTGATGTTATAAGGAGTAACTTAGGCTAACTTCTATTTCAGTAAAAGAATTAGGGTTCCGCACAAAAAAATTAAAATGTACCTAAAATATAAAAATGAACCCGAGCGAAGCGAGGCTGAGTCGCTAGTAATAAATATTAATGCCCTACTGAATTTATATAGTGCACAAGACTATTCCTGACACTTTCATGCTCTGGTGGAACGATAATTCGACACCACATGTGGGAGATCAGATACAGGACCGATAAGACACGTGCTCTCGGATGCATGCGGGCGACACACCGCCAACTATTTTGGTCCGACCCGGGTCTTGAACCCAGGAGGACCTTATGGTCAGCAGCCGCTGGACACGCTAGTCTCTATAAGCCATTATAAGTTTTTTATATTAATTTAAATTACCAGCTATCTGTAATATTTTGTAAAACGTTGTATATTACTAACTAGTAGTTGTAAAAAGAGTATAGTATGTACTCACCATCATAACATTTTGTACAATATTTGCTCCTTAGGTAGTAATGGTGCTAGCAGCAACAAATTTCCCATGGGACATCGATGAAGCCCTAAGGCGAAGGCTCGAGAAGCGTATCTACATACCGCTCCCGACGCAGGAGGGCAGGGAAGCCCTGCTACATATTAACCTCAGAGAAGTCAAAGTTGACCCCGAAGTTGATCTGCGGTCCATTGCCAAGAAACTGGATGGTTACTCTGGAGCAGATATAACAAATGTTTGTAGGTTAGTATTGTGAAGATTCATTATTATCAAAGGTTTAAATATATAGATAAGCACACCCCATACATAGAGGACTTGTAAAATGTATATATTGAGAGATCTTGAACCTTTAAAAATATTTGTTCATCTATTCTAATATTATAAAGAGGAAAGATTTTTTGTTTGTTTGTATCGAACAGGCTCCGAAACTACTGAACTGATTTAGATGAAATTTGATAAAAGGATAGTTTGACACCCTGGGACATAGGATAGTTTTTATCCCGGAAAACATTCCTTAAGGGAGTGATAATGGGGGTGAAAGTTTGTATGGGGAATTATGGTTAATACTTGGATGGCATATACATGTTATTTTTTGTATTAAATAATTAATTTTGCGTTTTCAAGAGAGGAAAAGCTAATATACAATGTTCAGTATAGGAAGTACCACATTTAGTTCTTAATAGCCTGTGTTACCATGGCAACATATAAATAAATTTACAATATCACGAAAACACGATGATATTATGACGCTGTAGAGTGCTTGCAGAGATAAAAACTTTTATAACCTTTTTTACTATATTATTTAAAAGTTCAGTCTAGGATAAAGAGTAAGTTTAGTCTGTACAATTAACATGAATAAAGGCATTCAGCGTAGAAATTTATCAACAATTAAAAGTAAAAAAAAATATTACGTTTGCTTCAATAAATTATTTATTAGAATAATTAAACCTAATTAATATAAAGACAAATAATTTAATACATAATGAAATAGATTAAAATGTGATTTTTTTTCCACCAACAGAGATGCATCAATGATGTCTATGCGACGTAAAATCGCTGGCCTCAAGCCTGAACAAATAAAACAACTTGCCAAGGAGGAGCTGGACTTGCCGGTCACTAGACAGGACTTCTTGGAAGCCCTTGCGAAATGTAATAAATCTGTATCTAAAGGAGACATTCAGAAATATCTCACGTGGATGGACGAATTCGGATCCTCCTGATTCACATAGAAAATGAGTGATAAAAAATGAAAAACAATAAGTGTAAAACACAATTTGAGTGAAAATCTTACATAAATTAGATGGAACACATGAACTGTTTCAGTATTAACAAAGTATAAAATTTCAATATGGTGTAATAAATATTGCCTGTAAGATAGATTTTACAAAGTGAATATGTATTAAAATAATTGAGCTTACTTCTAGTCCACATATAGCTACACACATTATTTTTACGAAATGAAAGAAATAAAATTGTACCCAACTTTACAAATTTTACTTGGATTCAGAATTCTAAGTTTTAGAAAGATTGGTGGGCAAAGCCAAATGTGGATAACGGCTAACAATAATGTCTACTCATAAGATTGGATTATGTATTTTTATGGATTATTTTTTTACTTTGTAAAATTATGTTCATATGTATTAACTAAAAGATAAATCGCATTTGTATGACATTCCCATTGGTTTAATAATGTAAATAAAATTCGCGTGCTTTCTGTTTTAAAGTGTAAAAATGTGTACAGTATCAGCACAAACATCGTGTGAAATAAAGCATTAAGAATATTAATGTTCAGACGAAAATTAAATGGCAATATTATTTTTTTAATAATAAATAAACAAAATCAAATGTTCATTAAAATGTAACTATCACATCAGTTTTAGTATTATTTTGTCAAAATCTTTTTAAATTACAATTAATGGACAATTAAACACATCGTCCTTATAAATGCGCTCATATTTTACAGCAAGCTATGTCAATGAGATCTGTCATCACATTTTGTTAGTATATTTATAACAAATATACCGTGATCTTTGTACTTAATTTAGGTTAATATGAGATTTATAGTTTAGAATAATTTTATGCCATAACTAATTTATATCTACCATAGATTTTTATAAATTTTCAATAATTTTTATGTTAATTAATAATTAAAATTTAAATATTTTGAATAAATTAGCATTCGCTCAATTTAAAAATACTGTATGTTTGATTAGACAAGTTCGAATAAGATTTCAATTAAATCTTGAGTCTTATGTTTATGCATATGATCTCCAATCCTTAAGATAAGAATGTTGAAACTTAAAGATAATATAGGGTCGACCATCCATCCAGTTGAAATGACAAAAAAGTATTGTTAAATATTTTAGCATCTTTAGTGAATTGTATATTATATCATTTTCCTCCATATCCACTCCTGCATGAATTTAATCTCAATTAACACATTAAAAAAAAAAAACAAAATTTGTAATATTTTTTAAAATATTCGTGATATAATATCAACGCCTTAAATTTTTTAAAACAATCACCTCGGCTAATCAATGAAATTGGAAAAGATAATATTTTTGCATCAGTGTTATTAATAAATAATTGTACAACAAAATAAAACCATTTTTAAAATAGATACATGTAGTTTTTTTCCTTATGTCAACTTTGTGTGTTTTTAGTAATATGGTTTATTCTAGATAGTAGAACATCTTCAAGTTTAATAAAGATTAAATTATTTTTAAGTTTTTACGATAACTGGTATTACTAATATATGGACGCTAAAACAAGGCTGGAGCGATTTTGATGAAATTTTCGGTTTACTGCTACTATAGAAATACTAGCATATCCGCGGCTTCGCCCGCGTTCAAACTTCCGATCGCTACGAAAATTGCCTGAAAATTTCATTAAAATCGTTTATCACTAAAATAATAATTAAGAAAAAGGTTTTTAAAAATAAACACTTTTTTTAAATATTATTTTTATGGCTGATACGATAAGTAACTCATAAAAAAATGAATATGGAAGTATTACATACTGAATAAATTAAAACGAAATTTGAATCAATAGTAAAAATATTTTAGAATCAAAGAGTTCTTTAATAATATCTATTAAAATTACATTTTATATATAAAAGCATAAGCGTAGAAAAAATCCAATATAAAACGCAACATGAGAATATTCATAAATAATTTAAATTTGATGGTTATTTTTTAGATATAATGACTATTCATAATCTTATATATAAAATTTCCATGTCACAATGTTTGTTACCGTACTCCGCCGAAACGGCTTTACCGATTTTTACCAAATTTTATATGCGTATTCAGTAGGTCTGAGAATCGGCTACTATCTATTTTTCATACCCCTAAGTGATAAGGGTGGTCCTCCCAAACCCCACCCCAGGGACGAACCCGAGCGGAGCGAGGGTGAGTCGCTAGTAATCTTATAAAATTAAAAACCGAAATTTTCTTACAAGAGAAGCTCATCCTAATTCTAAATAAATATAAATTTTGCTTTCATTTTATTATGCTTTAATCATGTATAGAATATAAAAGAAACCTTTAAAGGTATGTACAATTTTTTACATTATTTTTTAAATAAATTTCTATAAATTTTATTTCACAATGAGAAAAAATGTGCTAGCAACACTTGAAGTACAGATATACATACAACTACAGATTTTATAAAGTTAATAGAGAATTATGAGATATATAAGTAACTATTATTGTGTTATAAAAAAAATTCTTATAATAATTTAGTTTATAAGAAATTAACAAAACTATAAATGTTTATTTGTTTATTTTTTATATATAACCTTTGCATTGTCATCAGAGAAATGTATTTATGGGTTGGTATATACAAAGTCAGGTTTGAGTTTGGTTAAAAATCATTTAAGGTCATGTTGCACACTATTTATTCCGTGATTGTTGTACAAAATCGTTAATTTACGATTATAAAAACTAAAAATAAACGTAATTTCTTTTTTAACATGCAACTCAACCCATATTACTGAGTGAATATAGTAACAATTGTTTGGCGCCAGCGGAACTACTCAAATGTGGTTTTGATGTTGGTATTACTGTAGTTACTACGTGGTCGCAGTATTACGGAAATGTAAACATGCACAGATAATTTTTCTCTTATTTTCAATATTTGGTGCTTCTAGTCTAATAATTTTGTCTTTCCAAAATATAAATGGTAATAAATTACATAATTGACAATATACTGTGCTTGTAAATGCTATAATTTTATATTTTTATTTTCTGTCACCGAAGTGAAGATAGGCAAAAGCGTCGACAAGCGCTGTAGGATTTCAAGTCTGCTAATGGCGGACGCCAATAATTTTGGAAGTTTCGTGATTCTATTGTTCTGTTTTTAAGAATTCCATCAGTTTTATGCTTGGGAATGAGTTTTGTTTTAAGTGATTGCGTCCATAGTGTCATAAATGTGCAAGTGATATGAAATGTGCGGTTTGAACATGACAAAAGCGCCCGCTAGATATGTAACCTTTTCCATAACCTCGTTTACGCGAATGGAGTAGATATGTGATCGATGTGTGTGCAACGGTGAACGATTTTTCGTCATATTCGCTTTACATTCAGTGCGAAGTTACTTGGCCTTTTAGTGATGGAAGTGTCCGCGTCGCGGTTTTGCTATCCGACGCCCGTTTTCGATGTAACGTAAGTGAGCCGGTCGATCGTCAAAGCTTAGTGTAAGCAGGGACGGCCGCTACCAGCCGAAGATGGCTGCGACGCAGGCAGAGTCTCAGCGAAGCGAAGCGAACGTTGATCAGAATCCATCGGACCAACTCAGTGAATCTCGGAACGTGCTTTTACAAAACGGCACCGACAAATCCGTCGGGCGCGTTCCGCCCGATGGCGTTGTGAACACAAAGAGTAAATCGCCGATGTCGGCCGATCCGGGCCAGCCACGCGACGGTGGTGAGGCGCCCGGCCACGATCGGAGCGGTGACCGCCCAGTGCCGGACCAGTACGGACCGTATCGTTATCCGGAAGGTGCTGATCCATATTATGCTCAACGACCGGGATTTCCCGGCAAACCGCGGCCACCACCGCAACAAAGATTTTTCCCTGGGCAAACTGTATCTCAGGCGCCTGGTCCTACGCCTACACTCAACTCATTGCTCCAGTCGAGTGGAGCGCCGCCACATCGCTATCCCAATAGTTATGACCAGCCGCCCGGGGGTTATGGACCCGCCCCTGGTTGGCCACAGCCAAGACCAATGCCACCATATAATCCTCAAGCAAGTCCATACAGAAACTCAACGGTAAGTGGTCAATTTTATAGAAAGTTTAGGAAGTTGATACTTTAAGTGTTAGTATATTATTTAATTTATAATTATTTTGAAATATTATGTGTAGAAGTGTATAATTCAGTATAATGACAAAACTGATTAATTATTAAATGTTAGAAGAAAAGTTTTGATAACAGTAGTAACTTACTTTTCCTATGAGACAAAAAAACTATTGAAGCTATTATATCTTTAACTATAAGTATAGGTTTAATTAAGTACATTGAAAATCCATAACATATTTTTGAATATGCATATATTTATAAGATTTATGTTTTTAATTCAATTCAATTATTGTTTGTTATTTGGCTGTTAGGCGTGCCATTTGGGTACAGATTACTTTATTTTTATATGATAATATAATTGTATCAATGCATGGAACAGAGCAAATAATATTTTTTTATAACTGATATACACAAATACATCAGGTTATTATCATTTTTTCAAGGTTTACTCCATTTAGGATGAAATGTATATAATGACACAATTTATTCATTTTCTTCTACAGGTTTTGTTATAATGCTTTTATTTATTTTCTATATACATAAAAATGAATCCCCATTTCCCTTGGTCACACCATCATGCGTGAACGGCTGGACCGATTTAACTATTTTATTTTTTGTTGTGTTTGTTATTGTCAGGAGAAGGTTCTTATAAAATAAAATATTTAAAAAATTGCACAGAAAATTATAAATTTAAGAATACTTCACAACCGTATTAAAATTTATATGGCTAACGCTGGGTAATAACTGTTTATATATATTTAAAACGTACCTAGCGACTAACCCGAGCGAAGCAATGGTGAGCCGCTAGTACTATATAAAACATATTTGACAGGTACTATAAGCAATAATGCTTATATAATCAATCACCTTCCTATACTTTTGAACTTATTAATATAAAAATATTCTGAATGTAATCTCTATATGGGATTAGGCCACTTTGTTCTTAGTTGTAGATTAATTGCAAAATGCAACACAGAAAAGGAATCTCTGTGAAGATGAAAACACAAGCTATCCTTTTAAATTTGCCATGTGTAATCTAACTTTGAAAGGTCATTTGTAAGTTGGCTTTACTTATTCTTTGAACAATAATACCTGACTCAATTGATTTTTAACGTAGGTTAAAATTAGTAATACGAGACAATGCCTATTTTTTTAATCTTGTTAAGTTTGGATAAATGAAAATCGTGAACCACCATTAGCAAGGTTAATCAAAACATGCAAAATGCAGATGAAGTGAAAAATTACTGTGAAGAATAATTGTTAATCTTTGAAAGTAAATTAAATATTTTTTCAATCTATAAGTATTAAATCAAATTTTATTTTTGAATCAGTAAGGTCTATCTACCATGTGAATGAAAAATGTTGAAGTTAGCATTTAATATACAACTTCTTCGCCGTGATATGCACATCCTTAGCTTCCTATTCAATATTCTTAACGACCCAAATTCTCCTCCCTACCTTCGTTCCCGTCTCCCTATCCCCTCACGTTCCAGGCGGTCTTGCGTCATGTCAATGCTCGACATACCAAAGAGTAAGACACATTTTTTTTCGCACTCTTTCTCAGTATATGCCTCATTACTCTGGAACAAACTCCCTAAATACATCCAAAAAAGCCCCTCTATAACTTCTTTTAAAAAAAAATTAAAACAGTACCTTCTGTCACAAATTGGTCCTTAATTTTACTATCAGATAAACTATTTTTATGTATTCCAAATGCATACGATTATATTTATACTTTAATATGTATGTTTATATGTATGTATATGTGTATATAGTATGTATAATATGTAAGTTATTGTATATTTATCATTATATGTGTCTTTTTGTCTTATTTAATTGTATAATTATTTATAATTATTTTAAATCAATTGCACTCTTTTAGTCCCGTCATATAACACTACTTCTCACTTCCATTGGTTGGCTGGAAGAGATCTCTTCTAGAGATAAGTCCACCTTTGCCCACATTGGTATCTGTATTATCTGTGTTACTCTGTTAATATGCAATAAAGAATATATAATACAAAAAAGCTGCATATATATAATATTGTTAAATCTACTACTTTAAAATGTGATTACATATATTATGTAATTCTATTTATTGCTTGGATTCCTTGAAATGCCTTACCTAAATTTGATATGAGGTTTAACCTGCATATGATAGCATATTTTAACAAGGTGATAAAACTATGGTACACCATTGCAGTCACTATACTTTCCACTATATGTTAGTATATGTGATACAGCCCCTGGAAAAAGCAGTAATATATTTAAAGAATGGGTCTGATAAAGAGTATTGACATATAAAAGGAAAGATTTTTAATAAATAAGAAGAAAGATTTTGATATATGAGAATTTTGAAGAACAGAAGAAGATGGAAGCTACAAAGAGTTAAAGCTATAACGAATATATTCCTGTATCTAATTAAGTGATAACAAAATATCTCAATCTATGGCCAGATCCTCTTTAAAGTAAAGAGAGTCCGGTGCCCAGCAGTGGGTTTTTCAAAATGGTTGAATTCAAAATATCTTCGATCTCTATCACCTACCCATTTCAAAAATGTAAGCAACGGTTACAATGCCCATGTCCAATATATTAAACTATATTTTTCATTGGATAAGAAGATTACTATTTTTTGAAGATAAACTCCTTTTGGAGTGTTATGGAAAAAATTATGAGAGTGAATTTTTTACGATGCGATAGATTTAAACTACAGTTTATGGTTTAAATCTGCTATCTTCAGCTGCTATATTGGTTGCTTCTAACAGTTGACAACAATTTTTCATAATGAAGTATAATTAGCACTTAAATCATAGACATATGCCTTTTCCCTTTACATATAAAATTGGCTTAAATTATTCATAATAATTTGATTTGTATTTTAATTGTTAAAAAATATTTTAATATGAGTCTGCTAGGACTAAAACCTACACGAAAATTTCAGAAGTTAAGAAATTGAAAGTTATGTTTAGAATATGTTAAGTGTCATAAGTTTTGTTTTTCTTTAGTGAGACTAATATTAATATTAGAAAGATAAATTTAAATAAATTAAGTATATACCATATTCCAAAACTGCCTAGTGGCTATGTGATTTGATATCGCCCATGTTTACATTACATATTATACTTTGAGAAAATTTCAAGTATGTGTAGCAAAATTATGACCTACTTAAACAATTTTTGTCACCAAGGAGTATAAATATAATTTTAAATGATTGTTAAAAATTTAAATTATAAATGATGTTTTAAGTGTTGATTGCTGTGTCCTACTTATCCTGGGATCAGAAACGGGACATCCATTAATTACATGTACTGTTTTTCTTTTAATTTAGAGTCCTACCTCCCATTGGTGAGATTAAGTGAGAATTAGAAGGAAATTGTAGGCATTTGTATTTAAATTACTAATTAGTAGAATTCGCGAAACCTAGCCAACTTATGGAATTGATTAATTCGTTATCACAAATGAGCTTCTTGTGGGATCATAATAAAAAATGTGTATGTCTTTCTCCAATATCGAAAACTACGTGTGCATGTCATATCGCAATTAGATAAAATATCAAATAGTTTGTAGACCGTCGGTCAATTTATCTCTTAATCCATCAACGACCGCGGACACGCCGGCGTGTCAGTTAACAATAAATTTCTTAGAATTTTGATTAATATCTTAGAAATTTACCTGAAGGTTTTAATCATGAATCACAAAATCTGAGCCCAGAATTCCGATTAAATGCAGAATATAGGTTTACCTAACCCAGCCAGCCATACTTATCTCAAAAATATGATTAAAAATCTTATTCTTTTTAATCCTTAAATACTGATTGATGACTAGCATTTAACGCAACATATAACACTTGTTTAGAAATTATTATACACATATTATATGTTACGGGCAACTTGAGAAGTTTGGTCCCTATGAATAATGACCAGTCTGTATACATAATGCCTGTATCTAATGGGCAATGTAAGCAAAACTGCATGACTAATCTCTTTACCTGGTCAGTATGAATAATAACTACCCTATCTTAGGCAATATAATAAAACAGATAAACTTTAGTTTTTTGTGTTTTATATAAAATAAAATGAAAATAAAATAGCCTTTATTCCAAAAGTACAGTACATCTATATATATAATTAAATTGTAACTAAGCCGAATCTGTACAATAAATATTTTTTGGAAAATCTTATTGAAATTAACATCATTATTATCAATACAGAGGCTGAATCTATAGATTTTTGTCTGTCTGTCTGTTACCGCATCACAGAAAAATCATTGGAGACTGGATTTTGATGTGGTATGGTCATAGTTGGTTATCCAGATCAACATATAGGAAACTTTTTATTGCGGGAAAATATCTCATTTCTGAGAAAATTTTTTACAAAAACTGGTTAGAATAAAACAACGATGATAGTAGGTATATACATATTCAAATGAAATTGGTATATGTAAGAGTAGGTATACTAATATGTAAAACCTAAGAATATGGTTTTTTGTCATCTGAACGCGGGCGAAGCCGCGGGCAATGCTAGTATTTGGATAAAAATATTACTTATGTACAGGGCTCCGAAACTCATTCAATTTTTAAACCGGTTTTGGTCATTGACCCCAAACCGAAAGGCTTATCGGTTTAAGGTTTCGGTTACGCTCTTTAACCGGTTACATCCGGGAGAACGGTTTTTGACGAATTTAGGTTCCGTGACCAAAATTATCCGGTTAAATTAATTTTTTGTGCGTTTACATTTGGCGCGTCTTTGCTAATGGTCAATGGCTTAGTAGAGGGATGCATGCACGATTCTCACTTATGAATTAACCTATTTATTTCGGTATCAAAACTGAAATATTACATTTTTTTTAAAATAACCGTTAATCATTATTATTTCGAAATACTAAATTAAAATTACTCATTACCCGGTTAAAGAACGAACGATGAATTAATAATTATTAGTAATGATTATAATCATTACATTACCGAAATAA